GTTTTACTGCTGTACATCCTCTATTGCTGTTTTTTTCCGGCAGCATTACCACAAGGAGTCTACAGGAAGTAAACTTCCCTAGTCCTCATGTGTCTTAAAGTGTCTTTGATCTGCCCTCTTAGCCAGTAGACAGTTTAGCTGGGTATTGAATTCTAAATTGAAAATCACTCTCTCTCAGAACTTGGAAGAGATTGCGTCACTGTCTTTTGGCATCCAATGCTGCTAGTGAGAAGTCTGGTGCCTTTCTGATTTTCAATCCTTTATAGGTGATTTTTTTCTCTCTGGAAACTTTTAGCACCTTCTCATTTTCCTAAGTATTCTGAAATTTCTAAATCTTGTATGTTCTTCATGCTGGGGGCTTGATGAGTCCTGTTATTCTGAAGACTGGAGTGTTTTGTGTTTAAAAAATTCTGTTCAGTCATTTACTTAAAAATTCTCTCCCTTGATTTCTCTCTTCTCTCTGAAATCTTTATAAATCAAACATGGACCTCCTGTATTGATTTTTTATGTCTCATATATTCTCTAATAAAATTCTGTGTCTTTACCCTTTTGCTTTATTTTCTGAGAGATTACCTTGACCTTAACTTTCAACATTTCCAATGAATTTTAATTATATTTTTCTATGTCTGGGGCTTTTGTGTTCTCTAATTGTTTCTTTTTTCATATCACTACTCATGTTTTATAGATTCAGGGTCTTCTTGAATTCTTTTTTTAAGTTCTGTTCTACGTATGAATTGTCTTTGTTTCCTCAGAGGTCTTATTTTCACTTTGTTTATCTTAGTCTCTCTATTTCATATTTCAGGCTTCCTCAAATAGCTTCTGGCTTATGGTTGTCCATTCATATTTAAGAATGAAGCAGTAGAAAAGTTTCCTGGAAGCTCTGTGTACATGGATAAGAGGAGATGAATGGCAGGCTTTGTTTCCAAGTAAACTGATCTTTATGCCTTGAGATTTCTAAATGTCAGCCTGCAGTGTGCTTTGCTCTCAGATGCCACCTTAAAACCCAGCTATCCTAGTCTTCCTCAGGCAGTTTAATTTCTTTAAAGAAGAAATTAAGGGAAGCAGTAAAATGGGGGACAGAGCAAACATCTGCTGGCTGAACAGTTTGCATATAAGGGTCAGGGAAGTTAACTGTTCCATTTTTAGACTTCCAATTAAGCTCCCCCTTTTCAGACACACATCCCTTTCCCACCCTCAATTGCACCTAGTACATCCAAGTCCTGAGCTTCTCGGGGCCTCGGCGGACAGGTCAGCTCCCTCTTTGGCTGCAAACCCAGCCATGTGCATTCCACACTGCAGCTTCCTCTGTCCTGCTTACTCGGTCATCATTCCCCATCAAACCACTTCTCCAGAAATTTGTTGAGATTTCTCTTGTACACAAGTGCCCCCTCCCAGTTCAAATTTTCCTTTGGAAGCATTGATATATTTATTATTTATTATGAAGACATTTCTGGAAGAGGTAAAGATAAGCCCTTGTGCATTTAGTCAACCTTCTTGGATTGGAAGTCCCACCGACCTTGTAATGAAGGCTGGTGGGCATGGGTGTGTGCTTTTACATGGACAGACCTGAGCAGACTGCGGTCCTTCTAATCAATGACACATTTACAAGAAACTCAAAAATATGCACAGAGATGGAAGGAAAGTTTTTTTTTGTTACATAACACATTTCAGTGTCTGTTGATTATAATATATTTTAAATATGAAACTAAAATTATACGTGTCCCTAAAGCACCTCCTCAGAACCCTAAAAATTTTGTAGAATATACTGGGAAAACCACTGGCATGATTAAAAAAAAAAAAGAGCATGGAGTTTAGAGTCAAACAAACCTGATTCAATTCCTGGTTCAACCATCTGTTCTCTCCAAATGTTAGTTCCCTCATCAGTACCTACCTTCTCAGATTGCTGTGAGGATTAAGTGAGATCATATATACACAGAGCACCTAGCACAGAATCCAGTGATTAGTAGGTGCTCAATAAATGCTCATTGCTATTCCTCCTTCCCACTCCATACTGGACTACTCACCATGCCCCACCTTGTTCATGCTATTTCCACCTTCCCTCTTCTGTACCTCTTGGATTTATGCTTGTTCTTCAAGGTTCAGATTAAACATCCCCACATTCACAAAGTCTTCTCCAACCTTCCAGAAGATTAACTGCTGTTTCTTCTGGGTCCCCGTGACACCTGTTCACACCTCTGCTTTGTTCCAATCTCTCTGCAACCAAGAGAGCTTTGCACACACCTGTCCCTCTGGTACAGAGGGATTCCTTAAAGAGAGTATCCTGATCTGATTCCTCATATTTCCCCTATACCCAGTCCTATAGCTAGCACATAGTGCGCAATCAATAAGTACTAGAGTCTAATTGAGTTGCAGCAAACCGAACCAGATTATGAAGAGCCCAAACCCACTGCCAGGCAGAGATATGAAAGCCAAGCTATTATGGCCAGGCACGGTGGCTCACATCTGTGATCCCAGCACTCTGGGAGGCCGAGGCAGGTGGGTCACTTGAGGTCAGGAGTTTGAGACCAGCCTGGCCAACATGGTGAAGCCCCGTCTCTACTAAAAATACAAAAATTAGCCAGGCATGGTGGCATGCACCTGTAATCCCAGCTACTTGGGAGGCTGAGTCAGGAGAATCACTTGAGCCAGGGAGGTGGAGTTTGCAGTGAGCTGAGATTGCACCACTGCAATTCAGCCTGGGTGACAGAGTAAGACCCTCTCTCAAAAAAAAAAAAAAAAGAGAGAGAAAGAGAGAGAACAGAAGGAAGGAAGGAAGGAAGGAAGGAAGGAAGGAAGGAAGGAAGGAAAGAGCAAGATCTCTCAAAAAAAAAAAAAAAAAAAAAAGAGGAGAGAAAGAGAGAGAGAATAGAAGGCTGGCATGAAGGAAGTGGGAAGGGAAGCGGCGAAGTGAAGGAAGTAGGCTAGCTGGCTGTGAAGGAAGGAAGGAAGGAAGGAAGGAAGGAAGGAAGGAAGGAAGGAAGGAAGGAAGGGAGAGAGGGAGGGAGGGAGGGAGGGAGGGAAGGGAAAGAGGGAAGGGAAAGAGGGAAGGGAAAGAGTGAGGGAGGAAGGAAGAAAGGAGCCAAGTTATGACCTAGACAGACAGATTCTAACTTGTCCACAACACAAACACTTTGTTCCTTTCTTGCAGGAGCTTCTGAGCTGCTGTCATGACCTCCGTAGCCAACCCTGCCACTTTGCCAAACACAAGTAAACACGTTCCACTCCACGAGACACATCCTTGGTTTGGCTTGGCCCTTGCCCCACCCCATAAGACAGAGTCAGAGGAAGAAAGACAGTTAGACTAGACAGAGCTCACCTGGAATTCTGAGAACCCACTGGGTGGGGATGGAATTTTTCATTCTCTAGAATGACACATTTAGCTCTGGGGCAGGGCTGGGGCAGGATGCTTTCTCTGTTCTTCTCTTTACCGCCTTGGGCAGCACAAGTCTGAATAAAACACCTTAGGCCTTCAGCTCTCCCTTCTTCCTCCCTCTACCTTTGCCTCCCACCCAGGCAGAGTTAGGCCCATTAGTCAGACAAATATGGAGCTAAGACACAATCTGTGAGCAGGATCCTGTTCTCGGGCCTTGGGCAGAGCCAAGAGGAGGAAGAGCATCATCCACACTTTTAAAGAGTCTTTTAAAGAGTCGCAGGTTTAATGAAGAATGCAAAGTCCTTGTCCTCAAGGAGCTTCTCATCTAATATAGCGGGGGGTGGCAGGGCAGGGAAACAAAATAGAGTCCCAGGCTGATGTGATCCCATCCACACTCAGGAAATACCCAGTCCAATATGGGAGACAGTACATGTGCACACAAGTGTCATCCAAATTCAGAGGATGCAGCACCAGTCACTGCGCCTACTGTGTCCCTACTGTGTGCTAAGCATGTTACATAGGTATCACTTATAAGGCCGTCATGAAAATAGTCCAGTCTCAAAGCTGTGTTATCATCAAGGATGGCAACCAAGCTGGACGCAGTAGCTCATGCCTGTAATCCCAGCACTTTGGGAGGCTAAGGCAGGAGGATCACTTGAGGCCAGGAGTTTGAGACCACCCTGGGCAATATAACAAGACCCTGTCGCTACCAAAAAAAAAAAAAAAAAAAAATTGGCTGCAGTGAACTATGATCTCACCACTGCATCACTCCAGCCTAGGCGACAGAGCAAGACCCCATCTCACAAAAAAAAAAAAAAAAAAAAAGACAGAGAGAGAGGGGGACAGGAGAGAGAATAGCAACCAAAAAATAATAATTTCACAATAACTCCATTTACTTGAATTTCTTAAACTTGACTACAAAGAATCATGGATCATAGTGATGCTTCTCAAATCTCCTTTTTCCCACCCACTCTCTTCCCTCACCCATTACAGCTGCTCAAACCTCCCTCCTCCCTCAGTCTTGCTGCAGATCCTTCTTCCCTCTCTCTCTCCTCCCATCACCTAGGCCTAAGGACTATTCCAATAAATCAGCACCTTTCTTAGAGGGCAAGGGAGACACACACACACACATACACACACACACACACACACACACACAATTCAAATAGGCCAAGCCAGGATTTTCTCTGATGAGCAGAGAGAAGGGAGAGACTGGGATGGAACACTCACTCCGCCCCCATAGCTTTCCTCCTGCCACACAGTATCTCATTTGATCCTCACAACCACCGTATAAGGTTGATGCTATTATCCCTATTCTACCAATGAAAAAACTGAGATTAGCAAGTAATGCTTGACCAAGGCCATGCCATTAGTTAGCAGTGGAGCAGGGACTTGAACCCATGTCTGCCAAAAGAACAAATATCCTTGTCCCTAGCAGGGTGTCCAGAGTGAAGGAGTTGGGTGACTCAGGGCTTGGAGGGGGTGCTTTGTGGAAAGCAATCTTCAGGGTGTGGTGAATTCTTCTTCAATACCTCAGGATATGTATGTGTTTGTGTCTGTGTGTGTCTGGGGACGGGAGTGACTTGACCACAGGAAGTTCCTCTCAGCCATGCTCCACTTCCTACAGAGTGGAAGGACGTTCCCTATGGAGCCACTCATCCTGGAGTGGCTCAGGGACAACTGTGAGGGCACCCTCCACACCGGGGAAGATACCTGGGGACTCTCCCTGGGGGTCAGAGTGGAGCGGGGGACTCCGGAAGCCCAAAGGCGGGAGACTCCTGGGGCTCAGGCTGAGGGTATGGTTCGCTCATGGCATCTTGTTACAGCCACAGGATGCTTGTGTCTCCTCAGAGCCTCCCTTCAGCAACACGAAGCTGGAAGGGCAGAGTGTGGCCCCATTTTACAAGTGAGAAAACTGAGGCCCAAAGCAGTTCCTTTACTGTAGAGAAGACAGGGCTAGGCCTCAACACAGAACCTCTGACATCCTGCCACGCCCCACAGACAGCCCCGGCTGCCAGGAAGACTCCACAGCCCTGCATCCCACCTCCACTTCCCCCAGCCCATCTGAGACAGTGCCTCCTTCTCTCCTTCCTGAAGCCACCAAGCGACTCTTGTCCTTGGACTTTGGGTCCTTCAGGCAGACCCAGAGGAACCTGTCCTGCCCACTGTGTCCTGCTGGGGTCTGGCAGGAGAAGACACTGTGTGAATGGAGGGATGCAAGCGGCAACAGACAGGCTGGGGTAAGAGAGGCAGTGCTGGGCAGGAGGCCTCGTGACCTCTTCCCGCTCCACCACAAACCTGGGTGGTCTTGGGGAAGCCACTCTCCCTCTCTGTGTCTCCCTCCTTCATTGCATAGGAGGGAGCGGGGACACGTCAGGCTGCATAGAACCCAGGTGGGGGGTGCAGGAGTTCGGAGGGGGCTGAACGGCTAGGGCGCTGACCCCTCCCTCAGTGCCCACCTCCACCAGCACCCCCTCCAACTGGATTAGCCTTGACCTACCTGTTGTATTCGTCTGCACTTACTGGTAAGCTTCTGTTTGAAGAAAGGATTCTGCATCCACCTTCTTTCTTACAAATACCTCTGTATGGCGTCTGTTCATAATCCTGTTCTGTTGATTGTTATTAAATAAGGATTTTCCTGTACATTTAGGAGGATGTTCCAGGCTATGGGCTGGGAATGGGCCAGGGGATTCACTGCTTCACTCCTCCTGGGTCCCCCCACCCCGCTATTGGTACTGGAAGTATTCAACACATGGCTTCCCTTTGAGACCGTCTCCATGGGACACCTCCCCTGAACCTCACCCCCCAACGACGTAAACCTTCTGAGCTTGCTGTCTGTTTTACCCTGGTGGTTCTGACCAATTTGTTTTTGGTTTTGTTTTTGTTTTTGTTCTTTGTTTTTTTGTTTTTCTTCGATACCGAGTCTCACTCTGCTGCCCGGGCTGGAGTGCAGTGGTGCCCTCTCGGCTCACTGCAACCTCTGCCTCCTGGGTTCAAATGATTCTCCTGCCTCGGCCTCCCAAGTAGCTTGGATTAGAGGCGTGTGCCATCACTCCTGGCTAATTTTTGCATTTTTAGTAGAGATGGGTTTTCGCCATGTCAGCCAGGCTGGTCTTGAACTCCTGACCTCAGGTGATCTACCCACCTCGGCCTCCCACAGTGCTGGGATTACAGGCATGAGCCTACTGCACCCAGCCGGTTCTGCCCAATTTGGATGCGACTCCCAAGAGCTTGTTCCTCAGTCCTTCCGGAAGGGAGTGTGTGTGGGATATTTCTGAGGCCCTCAAAGGCACAGGCTGCCCCAGTGCCCTCTGACCTTCCCACAGCCCCTTCTGCTTCCCTGGGTCTCACTTGGCCTTTTTGCTTCACCCACACCTCGAAGCCTGTGGAGCTGCTCCCAGCTGTCGAGGACTCCACTTAGAATGCCTGTTGGAGATCAACTGTTTTTCTCTTCCCCTAAACTCTGCTGCCTTCTTTAAAGCTCTACAGTTCCGTGCTACACCATCCAAAGTCTGAGAGTGCTGGGATTCAGGGGGCGGGTTGCGGGAGCAGGCGTCCTATTCTCCCAAGCGCCCCTTGATGTGATCTTAGGAGGTTGGGTGGACACCAAAGCGTAGTGAGACCAGAGCAAGGAAAGGCGCCTCCTGCTTCAGGTCCCAGCTCACACTGGAGAGGGTCTGCCCCTTGGCAGGAAGGCAAGGACTGGAGCAGGTGATTGTGAGCTCCCAGCCCTGGGGAGCTCCCATGGGGCTGCCCCAGATGCCCTGGTGCTGGTCAGCAGAGTCTCTTTCCAGCTGAGCTTCTGCTGACTAGAAGGCAGTTCTTACCCTCTCTGTGCAGTTCTGCTGCTGTTCTATGAAGCGGACCCAGGAGCCCAGGCGGAGCAGGGGTGGGGGGTGCGGCAGAGGAGGGAGCCAGATGCCAGGGAGAGAGCACTGCTGTCAGCGCCCCTGGGAGTCAGAAGAGTCAGGCTGGAGAGCACAACCTGACCTCCGTGAGCCCCCAGCAGCCCCTTAAAGCCCGGCCCCATTTCCAGTCACAGCAGAGTGCGCCCTGGAGCTCTTTGGATGAAATGGACAGAGTGGGCTCTAGTGGGGAAGCACCCTCAAGGTCTGTCTGTACTCCCCACAGCCAGGGCCTGAAGCCCTCTAGACAGTCCTCAGCAGCAGGAAGTAGTTGGGGAGGCAGCTGGAGCCCCACAAACCCACCCCGCAACCTGCCATTCCATATAACAGGAGGATCCCTCAGAGCCCTTTGAGGGGCAGAGGGCTGGCGCGAGGGTGGCTGGCAACAAGCTGTGGGTGAGAAACCCTCCTCAAGGCCTTGGAGGAGCCCTAATCACCAAGCAAAGAAACATCCCTGCCCTGCCCTCAGGGAGCTCCCACTTCAAGGGGAAGACCCAGGCCTTACTTGGAGATGGGTATGAGGGGATAGGGGTGGGTGCTCGAGCTTGCTCACTGAGACACCCCAGGGAAGGGTGCGAGCCTGCAGCTGGAGGGCGGAGACTCCATGAGTAAGCAGGTTTACAGAGAAATGCACTTCCAAGGAAAATGAGTCAGAGGCAGGAAGAGGAGAGTGAGAGCAGTCTGGAAGTCCCTTCTCTCACCTGACCTACGAGGCTCGGCTGCCCCAAGCATTTGAGGAGACCCCTGTTCCCTCTCACACTCTCAGCCCTACTACGGGCCCCGGTGGAATGCAGGGAAGATCCCTGTAGCCAAAAGTCCTATAAATGATGGTGAGGAATCAGGGAGGAGACCCTAATGAATCCTCTCCCAGGGCCCCGTTTTCTCTTCTGCCTGGAACTCAAACAGTATTTTCAGGAAAGCACCCACTGAAGGTGCTCCTTCTTCCTCTGGGCATGAGCTCCAGGACGCATGCTTGCTATTTGAACCTCCCTGAGCACTTTGCACTTTCAGCCTGTCCAATCTGCCTCCAACTTGCACTCCAATTTCTGGGAGTGAGAGCTGCCTAAAGGCAGAGCCCAGCCTGGCTCTCTGGTCCTTAGAGTCATGGTGTTTAATAGTGTTGAATGGACAAATTCAACTCTACTGTATTGGACTGTTTTGGACAGTGCCTTCTAAGTACTGTGTTTCTCAAAGCCAGTCATGTGCCTGTGTCTCCACCACCACCACCCTAGGCTCTGCCTCTACATTTGATCAGCTCCCCCACCCGTTAGCCAAACACACTCAAAGGATCTTTCAAAACACAATGTCTTGGGAGGATTGCTGGAGCCCAGGAGGTCAAGGCTGCAGTGAGCTATGATCATGCCACTGCACTCCAGCCTAGGTGGCAGAGCAAGACCTTGTCTCGAAAATAAACTAAAACAGGGCCGGGCGCTGTGGCTCACAGCTGTAATCCCAGCACTTTAGGAGGCCAAGATGGGTAGATCACGAGGTCAGGAGATTGAGACCATCCTGGCAAAGAGGGTGAAGCCCCGTCTCTACTAAAAATACAAAAAATTAGCTGGGCATGGTGGCATGTGCCTGTAGTCCCAGCTACTAGGGAGGCTGAGGCAGGAGAATCCTTGAACCCGGGAGGCGGAGATTACAGTGAGCCAAGATAGCGTCGCTGCACTCCAGCCTGGGCAACAGAACAAAACTCTGTGTCAAAAATAAATAAATAAAAATAAATAAACGAAAACAAACAAAAAACAACAACAAACACAATGTCGTCACACTTCTACAAATGTTCTGTTTTCCACGGTTCTCAAGGTAAATCCAAATCCTCTAAGCTGGTGCACTGGGGCTGGTCCCCAGCTGCCTCTCTGGCCTTGTTGTTGTAAATCCTTCTGTCTTTGTCCACCAGCTGCACTAAGTTTTCTTCAGCTCCTCAAGAGGACCACTATCACTCACTCCTACCCCAGGACCTTTGCACCTGCAGTCTCTTCCATCTGCAAGTTCTTTCTCTCCCCTTTACCCTCTTTGCCTGGCTAACTTCCACTGTATCCAGATCTTGGATTAATTGAGGAAGCTCTCCCTGATCCCCTATAGGCATGTACCTTGTTACATTCTCAAGGCAACCTTGACTTTTCCTTCATAGCCTCTTTCACAGTCCATAATTAGACATTTGCATGGTTATTTCATCAACGTCTACCCTCCATCCTCACCCCCTATCCTGTCCCAAAGACTATCAACAGGATGTGGACCAATGCCCAGGCCCAGTCCTAGCACCTGCCCCCCAGGAGGCTGGAGTCAGAAGGACACACCTGACCCAGAAAGGCCCCGCACCCCAAGAGCCTGAGATCTGGGAAGTACTTGGCCCAAAAGGGCAGCCCCACCCTGTGCTGCCAAAGTTGCAAGAGGAAGAACCTGGGCTCTGGGTATACTCACCTGGAAAGAGAAAGCTGAGAAATGTTTGGAGAGAGAGATAAGATGGCCAGAAAGCAGGAAATGAGCTGCAGATAGCTGTTGACTGAGGCAGGGCAGTTTAGAATTAAGGCTGCAGATCAAAGCCACAGGAAGTGGGCTGGTATTTTTTGGTAACAGAAAAATCTGATAGAAGCCACACTTTCCTGTCTGGGTGGGGCAGGCAATTCATTCATTCATTCATTCATCCGTGTTTGTTCCTATCATACAGTCATTCAACAAATACCGATGGAGCACCTTTCTGGGTGCCAGGCACTGTGCAGTGCCCTGGGGGACAGCAGTGAGCACGAGTGAATTAAGTCCCTACTCTCCTGAATTTGCAGGCATCTACCTTGTCATCTAGACCTTTTTCCCAACTGCCAGCCTATAGTCCATTTAGTGAGTCACAGCCAGCATTTTTTTTAATGCAATACAGCATGGGATAGAAAATATCAGTGTGGCCCATGCACTAAGGATAAGCATTCAATTATACATGTATTATGTGAACTGGGTCCTGGCATAAAGTCCTTTTCTTCCTGTAGTTCATAATCAGAAAAGTTTGAGAAACATCAGTCTAAGCATTATTTAAATAATTCCAAGGCCGGGCATAGTAGCTCACACCTGTGATCCCAGCACTTTGGGAGGCCGAGGTGGGTGGATCACCTGAGGTCAGGAGTACGAGGCAAGCCTGACCAACATGGTGAAACCCCATCTCTACTAAAAATACAAAAAAAAATTAGCCGGGCATGGTGGCGCATGTCGGTAATCCCAGTTACTCAGGAGGCTGAGGTAGGAGAATCGCTTGAACCCAGGAGGCTGAAGTTACAGTGAGCCGAGATTGCGCCACTGCACTCCAGTCTGGGCAACAAGAGCGAAACTCTGTCTCAAAAAAAAAAAATTCATAATCGAAATCAACGATAGGGAGCATGAAGAAATACACAGAGTGCTACAGGAAGTTAGAACAGTAGGACCCCAACTGGTCTGGGCTGGAGACAGTGGTCAGGGACATCTTTGCTGCGGAGAGGATGCCTGAGCGAGAAGGGGCTGGGGAGGGGGAAATGGAGGAGTGCTAAGGGAAGGATGGGGGAGGAGGTGTGAACTAGTACTGTGTCAACTCAATGACCTCTGCTTTTGTCCACCTGGCAAATAACCCTTCTCGTTATATCTCAGCCCTGCCTCCTCTAGCAAGCCGGTCCTGATTCCCTCCGTGCTTCCACTGTGCTGCTCACCTCCTCCTCTGCAGAGCAAGGACATCATGAAATAGTCATTGTTAAACTGCATATCTGCCTTCACTAGACTGAGAGTTCCTCCTTGAGAAGAGGGACATTATTTTATTTTTGTTTCCCCAGCACCTTAGCACAGAGCCTGCTGCCAGGAATCCCTCCATATATGAAGTGACTAGGCTAAGGTGACCCCACTGGACAGTGTCTGAACCACGATGGCACTCATTCCCACCTTCTCTCCTTCTGCTGGATAGAGCCACCCAATACAGGTGACGTGTGCCTGTTAAGGTGAGGGACAAAATAGAGCAGTGCTTCGTCTACCAACATGGCACTCCTGAACCCACCCAGCAGGGTTCTAATAGTGGGGACAGGGTGCGCCAAACCATCAGTGGCCTCTCAGGTTGGACGCAGGGTCACACCAACAGACAGGCGTGGAACCTGGGCAGAGCAAGGAGATACTGCCCCACTGGGCACTAAAGACAGCCTTGGCCTCAGGGACCCTGGATTCTACCCCTATGGGCCAAATGGCCAGAGAGCATCTGGAGCTGGATCTGCTATCTTCCTGGGGGATAAAAGTCAAGAAGATCTTCCAGATCTTCACTTGTGGAGCCTATTTTCCAGGGCAATTTAATTCCACATGGTTTGTTCTCCGCTCTGCAGAAGCCTCGGAGTTCTGTGCCAGGAACTGAGCTGGGAAACTCAGCTGAGGAAACCACGGGAATCTCATTTGAAGATTCAAATGGAAAAGCAGCTTCTCCTCTCCGAGCCTCAATTTCCCCATTTATAAAATGGTAACTCGTACCCAAGTCCATTCCAGCTCAAAAATACTATGATTCTTTTCTTCACTAGGAGGAGTTTTAAGGGGAAGAAACTATCATTTCAACTGTGATCTCACCAAGGAACAAGTCTGAGGACTGAGTCGGGGGCCAGTAGCATGGTGTGGAGCACTCAGCATTTGGGGATGACCACCCCCTGCCCAGCCTCTGCCCTGGTACCAGTTACTCTAGGGGAGTCCCCTTCTCCTTTCTTGGTTTCCTTGTCTGTAAAAGAGAATGATGCCAGCCACACCAGAGGGGGAGAAATGCAATGTATTATATAAAGTGCCTGGAGCTGGCCGGGTGCGGTGGCTCACGCCTGTAATCCCAGCACTTTGAGAGGCCGAGGCGGGTGGATTATGAGGTCAGGAGATCAAGGCCATCCTGGCTAGCACAGTGAAACCCTGTCTCTACTAAAAATACAAAAAAATTAGCCAGGCGTGGTGGCGGGCGCCTGTAGTCCCAGCTACTCGGGAGGCTGAGGCAGGAGAATGGCGCGAACCCAGGAGGCGGAGCTTGCAGTGACCCCAGATGGCGCCACTGCACTCCAGCCAGGGTGACAGAGCAAGACTCTGTCTCAAAAAAAAAAAAAGTGCCTGGAGCAGTCCTTGACCCATAGCTGATGTCATTATCATAGTTTCCTTTGCCTGGGTAACAAGTGCTAGGTGCCTCCCCAGCTCAGGCTGCAGAGCCTGGAGACCAGAACGTTCTACTCTCACTCACCGCCTCCGTCCACCCCCATCCGTGGCTTCCCTCCCTGTCAAGCTCAGCTCCTTGCCTGAGTTGGTCCAAAGGCCAGAGTGGCCAGGTGAGCGTGGTTAGCCACAGGCGTGACCATCCAAGATCCCATGACCAGAGTGGTGAGCCTGAATCCACACCCAGGCCTGGAGACCAAGTCCAGTGCTTTTGTCACAAAACAGCAGACCCCCATGCAATGCAGGCCCAAGGGCTCACTGCCTACTCGCTGTCCAGCCATCTCCCTCTGTCCCCAGGTGACCCCATTGCATTCCTGTGGTTTGGGGTTTGCTGGTGCGGCGGCGGCAACTGAAGTCTTGGCACCCTCCCACCAGTGAGTGGGGAGGGGGCTCCAGGGGCCAAATTCCTCTTCAAATGAGATTCCCGTGGTTTCCTCAGCTGAGTTCGTCAGCTCGGTTCCTGGCATAGAACTCCGAGGCGTCTGCAGAGCAGAGAACAAACAATGTGGAATTAAATTTCCCTGGAAAATAGGCTTCGCAAGTGAAGAGCTAAGCATCTCTTTGGGCGTGGGTCTGATTGCTCTGCCCTGTGCCAGGATGGACTCCCTCCGCCCTCCAGGCACGGCGGTTGAGCAAGTCCAACTCCTTCCCCCACCCACCACCTCTCCCCACTGTGGGACCTCAAAGCTGTCACCAGAGACGGGCTTTGGCTTTTCCCAGACTCTGTTGGGGCACCCTGACCAGAGACAGACAGCTGGGAGCCCCGAAATAGGAGCGTCCTCCTGGGATGGGGTCACATCAGCTCCGGCTCTGTCTGATGTTGCCGCCACCGCCAGGCAGGATTCAGGATCAGGTTTCAAAGACTAGGGGACATGGTGAGACAGGCTGTCTTCCTGGGTCCCCAAGCCTCAGCAGCATATTCTAAAGTCACAAACCCCAAGAGGCATGGAGGAGAAAAGGACAAAGAGGTAAAGTCGCCAGCTGACCTCCCCCAAGCCCCAGCCCAATACCATCTTAGATCCTGGCAGGAAAGTCCCCTGGACATATGGTTTATCCGTGCAAAGGAATGTTATTCTGCCATAAAAAGGAATGAGCTACTGAAATGTGTTCCAGCATGGAGGAACCTGAAATCATTATGCTAAGTGAAAAAATCCAGACACAAAAGGCTGCGTAGTGTATGATTCCATTTATATCAAATATCCAGAATAGGTAAAGCCATAAAGACAGAACGCAGATTAGTGGTTGCCAGAGCCTGGAGGAGAGGGAGATGGGAGTGACTGCTTAAAGGGTATAGAGTTTCCTTTTGGGGCTATAAAAATGTTCTGGACCGAAATAGAGGTGGTGGTTGCACAACACTGTGAATGTATTAAATTCACAATGGTAAATTTGATGTCATACGTATTTTACTACAATAAAAGGATAAAATGAAAGGTCCCTGGCTTGGGTCCCCGGCTGTAGAGGAATTCTGCTTTGGCCACCCCCACGGAATGAAGCGTCTGTGGGTCTGCGTGGATGTACCCACCAGAACCACAGCCCTCCCTTCTAGACCATGCGTTCCCCATGGAAGACCATGGTATTCCTGCCCATACAGCCCTGAAACTCTTCTCCAGGTTAATTTCTCAAAGCCAAGTCACACCCAGGGCCCAAGGGACAGCTGTTTGAAGGAGAGTGGTTAGAATTTGGCTTCTCCTGGCTCTTCTGTCCCCCCTGCTTCTGGTGCAGGATGAAGCCAGGAATGAGAAGATGAGAAGTCCCAGCGAGGGACTGGGATCCAGGGGCCAGCCCTCCCCAGGCAGCTACCTCCTGGCACAGAACTCCTAGTTGTCAGAGAATTATGAATTTGACCCTGGCCTTCCCAGTCATTATTAAAAAAAATCAAGGTAGATGGATAGAACATATTTTATTAACAGTGTGTAAGCTTGACTTATGGCTTTTGAATATTCAGACTTATGGTATGTATTCCTCTTCTACTTCTGTGTAAAAAATGACCACAGATTTAGTGGCTAAAAACAACACCCATTTATTAACTCACAGTTAACACGTGGCTCCAGGGATGCGGCGTGCAAAGGGCTGCCCCACGCCATCAGTGACAACACGCCAAGCAGCAGAAGGGAAGACAAGGGTGGGCATGCCGCGGTGGGGCCAGGGGGGTGTGTGAGCACAGCGTGTCCTCTTACTCAGCCGCCAGGCTCAGCAGGAGGCTTCACTCATCCCATGAGCTCACCTTGGGCCTAGGGCCATGCAGGATCGCACACGAGCTGGCCGGGGATGCCCTTCTCCCGGCCAGTGCCTGGACAGACGGTCCAGCAACTTGGGTCATTGCTGTACAGGTACTGATGCCACCAAGAGCAGCCCGCACTTCCCCTCCTCCGAGGACAGTGAGAGGCCCAGGAGGACAAGCCCAAGGATGGCAGTGCCCAACCCCCAGCCTATCTGTTTTTGGGCACAGAAGGCTGATTTTCCTTTCAGATCTGAGGTGTAAAAATCAACAAATTATGTCCCAAAGCCAAGTACAAATTCCTCGGTTCTGAGAGGCCCACAAAACTTACCCCTGGTCACGGTACTCTAGACTTGGTCTGAGAGGCCTGGCTCTGATGTGAGGAAGGAAGGGAGTGGGAAAAGAAGGGGGCATTCTAATCAGAAGCATGTCCACACCTGCTCTGGGGCTTACCCGGTGCTGTTCCCCAGAGAGCACAGAGCAGAGCAGATGTTGAGGTTCCGGCCCTGAGTGCAGGGAGACAGGTATTCCTAGGGCCACAGGACCCTATGCAGGGGTGGGGCTTGCACAGGCTACCCTGCATCACCTCCACATCCACACTGTCAGGGTCCAGGGAGGATTGTGGAAGGCAAGGACCTGAGTTTCAGTCTGGCATTATCACTCCATTAGCAATAGGTCCTGTAGGCAACCCCCACACTAAGCCTCAGCTCACCCGTCAGTCCAATGAGGTAGGACATACATACCCCAAAGGTACAACAGAATGTAGAAAGAAAATTTTAGAATTCATATACATGTATTTGTATCTAAAAGTAAGAAAGACGGAGGGTACAGAGGCTCATGCCTGTGATCCCAACACTTTGGCAGGCCAAGGCAAGAGGATTGCTTGAGTCCAGGAGTTCAAGACCAGCCTGGGCACCATAGTGAGACCCCCATCTCTACAAAAATTTATAAAAGGAATAAATTTTTTTTTTTTTTAAGAAAGAAAGAGGCTGGGCACGGTGGCTCAAGCCTGTAATCCCAGCACTTTGGGAGGCTGAGGAGGGCAGATCACCTGAGGTCAGGAATTCGAGACCAGATTGACCAACATGGTGAAACCACATCTCTACTAAAAAATACAAAAATTAGCCAGGCATGGTGGCAGGTGCCTGTAATCCCAGCTACTCAGGAAGCTGAGGCAGGGAGAATTCCTTGAACCTGGGAGCTGGAGGTTGCAGTGAGCCAAGATCACTCCAATACACTCCAGCCTGGGCAACAGAGTGAGACTCGGAAGGAAGGAAGGAAGGAAGGAAGGAAGGAAGGAAGGAAGGAAGGAATCACCTCCTGGGAACACACCAGCCTGGGTGAGTGAGACTGGCATGGAGCCAGCTGGGCGAATGCATGGCGAAGTGGTAAGAAGCGGAAGGAAGGAAGGAAGGAAGGAAGGAAGGAAGGAAGGAAGGAAGGAAGGAAGGAAGGAAGGAAGGAAGGAAGGAAGGAAGGAAGGAAGGAAAGAAGGAAGGAAGGAAAAATTCAAGTCAACTAATATTTAACATACAGATTGACCCAGGCACCCTCACTCAGTCTGTTTGTCGGCCAATTGTGTCTCCTGAATTAGTCACTCCATCAGGCAGAGAACTTGAGGGCCATACTCTCACTCTGTTGCTCACTTTCAATGTATTATGACATATTGATGTCTGCATATGCCCAGTTTATACTGCCTGATTCAAACTAAATTAGCCTTCCTTCAAAAAAAAAAAAAAAGGATAAATGACATAAAAAGATTTCTGCAAAGAAACATCAAGAAAATAGCAGAAGATCGCCTCATCTGCCATCTCACAAAGGAAGAACAAGTATTGCCTATTGAGTGCTACAGTGGAGATTTCCAAAAATGAAATCTCTTTTCATCAGGATAAAGGTGAAGTTCAGCCAAGTTATCAAGGAAGCAACTGTGGGCGAAGGAAAAGACTATGACAGAGCATTTGAAAATAAGGTCGGAAAGCGTTCCCATTGTTACATGATTTTGTTGCTGAAAACCTCATGTGTTCCCAGGATCTTTCATATCTGCCCTTCAAACAACGAACTAAAAAAGAAATGTTTAATTTGCTTAAAAATCTTCTAAATGAAGAGTTTGAGTGGGTTTAAAATCCATTTGCTGAAAGTATTAAAATGCAACATATTCCAATTTCTTTGCAAGAACAACTGATTGACATGAGAGAAGATGGAAATTTGCAAGCCAATTTTGAACAAAACCTTTGCATAATTGGTGGATGAAATTGAAAATTGAAAATTAATGTCATGATTTAATGAGCTGAGCCCACAATGCACCCCGTCCGTCTGGATCTAGGTATCTTCGTGAGGCCTTCTTTTCAGCTGTGACAACCATTAAAACTGAATATTGAAATAAACTGAATTTAGAATGAGATATTCAAATCACTGTTCCACAAAGTGTTTTCAGATTTCACAAACCAGGATTTTCAAAAATAAACAAGCATATTCAATCATGTTGCTCTCATTATGAGAACAAAAGGGTTTTTATTAAATGAAATGCCATAAAATTGCCTTTAAATGTATCATCAAAAAAGATTCAATATATTTTTCTTCATTTTTGTTTATAATTATAGAATGCATATAATAGATACAGTTTATACATATATGTATAATGAGCATAACATATTTTATAATGTACATATATTTTTATAATGTAAATACTAATATATTTATGTATACATAGTTCATGTATATAATTTGTAAAGTTCCATATACATAATTTTTTTGTTTTTTTTGGGATGGAGTCTCACTCTGTCATCCAGACTGGAGTGCAGTGGCATGATCTTGGCTCACTGCAACCTCCACCTCCTGGGTTCAAGTGATCCTCCTGCCTCAATCTCCCAAGTAGCTGGGATTACAAACGTGCACCACCACATCCAGTTAATTCTTATATTTTTAGTACAAATGGGGTTTCACCATATTGGCCAGGGTGCTCTTGAACTCCTGACCTAAGTGATCCACCCACCTCAGTCTCCCAAAGTGCTGGGATTACAGGCATGAGCCACCAACACCCGGCCTATATATCTGTAATTTATAAACAAATAGTTATTGGGGTGCCTGCTCAACATTTTTTACCGATGGGATGCGTGAACAACAGAGTTTGAGTCTGAGGATGCAGCAGTACCTGAGGGGCTCTCCAGTCTGGGGTTGGAGAATGCATAGGGCCACTTGACCTGGATGTGAGCCTTCATAATAAAGATGTTCCCGAATTGGGCTTCACCTGCCCTGCAGAGGCAAGCTATTGACTAGAGCTTCGGGCATGTGGGTGTTATTGTTCTTATTATTATTTTGAAATAGGGTCTCAGTCTGTCACCCAGGCTGGAATGCAGTGGCACCATCATGGCTCACTGCAGCCTCAGCCTACCTGGGCTCAGGAGATCCTCCCACCTCAGCCTCCCAAGTAGCTAGGACTACAGATAGGCACCATCACTCCCAGCTAATTTTTGTTTTCCTTTTTTAAAGAGATACGAGGGTTTCACCATGTTGCCCAGGCTGGTCTTAAACTCCTGAGGCTGAGATCCATCTGCCTCGGCCTCCCCAAGTATTGGAATTACAGGCGTGAGCCACTGCGCCCGGCCAGGCATGTGCATGTTATAGCTAGGGGGTCAGAGGTCCAAAAGCGTAAGACCTGAGAGCAGCCTCATTGGGAAGACCATCATCTCCTCCCCTGGAAAAAGAAGGACCTCTCTCTCCACTGCTCCTCACCCCTCCTACGCAACAAGAGAAGGGAAACTTTCCTCCCACTCAGAGGGAATTCAGAGGCCCTAAAAGGGTAACTCTCTTTCCTGGAGTATCACAGCAAACTGGCAATGGAGACTAAGTGTGAATTCAGATACCCGGAGTGCCAGTGCTGAGCTTTTACCTGCTCTGTTCTCTCTTGATCCCGAGCCCGGTTTTTGGTTACCAAAATTCTCACTATCGTCTCTACTGTCAAGTCCTCCCTGCTATTCATTTTAGATTTGCATGTGGCAAATAAAGCCTAGAATGCTCAGGAGTCTAAATACTCAAAGTCAATTATCTGCCCCATTGAAGCAAAGAACATCTCTCTCCAATCTTTTGGGTCTGTCTTAACCCCACAGAAGAGGGACTCCCAGAGAAAAGTGAAGTCTGCACCTCTGCTACCTTCTCAGGGGACTCAGCACCTCCCTGAAGCAACAGGACCTCCCTAAGTCACACATTTGTTCATGTCACTCCCTCCCTGACCTTGACCTGCTTAAAGGCTCCCTCTGTATCTCCACCGCCCACCACAGAAAATTCCCACTGCTCAGGCCAGTCTACACCCTGGCCCCACCCATTTGCATCAGTCACCTGCAGGAAACCGAAGCCACACTAGCTGGTGTAAGCAGAGAGGAATTTCATGCAGTATTCTGTCCTTAGAAAACGATCAAGAGGGCCAGAGGAGCAAGCTGCACTGCAGGAATAGCTCCCAGAAGACAGGGGCCGAGCAATCCACCTGGGAGTCTTGCCCTCTGGTCCCAGCAGGAGAGTAAGGAATCAGGAGTGGCCAGGCACAGTGGCCCACAACTGTAATGATCCCAGCACTTTGGGAGGCCAAGGCAGACGATCACTTGAGGTCAGGAGTTCCAGCCTGGCAACATGACGAAACCTGTCTCTACTAAAAATACAAAAAAAAAAAAAAAAAAAAAGCCAGGCATGGTGGCGGACAGCCGTAGTCCCGCTACTCGGGAGGCTGAGGCAGGAGAATCGCTTGAACACAGGAGGTGGAGGTTACAGTGTGAGCTGAGATCGCACCACTGCACTCCAGCCTGGGCAACAAAGTAAGACTCCATCTCAGGAAAAAAAAAAAAAAAAGAATCAGGAGCCGCTCAGGGTCCGTGGGCTTCAAGAACCATCATCATAACTGATTCAGGAAGTTGTTTCGGCAACAACCTCTTGATGCCCACAAAGCTGAACACTGGATGTTAGAAAGCAGCTGCTGAAAAAAGTGCCCAGCGTTGAGCTGGGCACGGCAGCTCAGGCCTGTAATCCCAGCAACTCAGGAGGCTGAGGTGGGAGGATCAGTTGAGGCCAAGAGTTTGAAACCAACCTGCACAACATAGTGAGACTTCCATCTCTACAAAAAAA